ACACATGCTACGAGGCGCTAGCTAATGGTGCTCCCAACGGCCTCCTTCCCGCCACCCAGCACTCCTGTAGCCTCGTCCTCCACGCGTCCTGCTGCTCCTTGCACAGTAAGAGTGAATGAACACTAAGGGGGTGAGCTGCCAGGTGTGGTGAATGGTCCAGGGGCTGGTGAACTGACTGGGCAGGGATGTGGTAGAGCCTGCAGTGGAGCGTCCCTTGGTCAGCGCCAGGAGGGGGAGCCTGGCTAGGCCTGGCACAGTGGCCAGGGGGCAGGAGACCTCAATCACACTCATTTTGAGGGTTCAAACCCAATGAGATGCCCGCAGAGGGACCCAGGGGGTGCTCTCTTTCCCTCCAAGAAAATTCAGGGATGTTTTCAGTGGTCTAGTGATGGCCAGCTAGCACCCCCATATGGCCTCCCCCACCTCCAGTGATGGTAACAGTGCCCAGCCTCCATGGGACACTGGCTCCCTTCTCCCACAGCGTGGGCATGCAGCCCATCCCCAGCATGGAGGTACATATGTGGCCAGGGGACTGCAAGGCCTGGTAGGACTGCAGGGGAGTGCACAGACTGAGGCCAGGACTTGAGAGCTTTTAGTTTGCGCACGATAAACCAAGAAAAGCGAAATTGATTTTCCTTTTACAGCAAACACACATTTCTTTTAATACAAAAACTTGAATGCATTATAAAATGGAATATATATTAGGTAAGTGCTCACGCATGGTGCACAGCACAAAGAGACATAGCCACCTGTCACCATTGTGCAATCAGGGACTGTTTCCTGTTGTGGTGGCCAACACATTGCTAGAACATTGAGTATAAGCTGGCTGGGAGCTTGTTAACCCAAGCTGGGGGGCCAGGGTGCCCCCCACACGCCGAGGGATGTTGACGCTACTGGTCCCAGAGCTGCAGACCTGTGATTATCTGATCCATGCAACCAAAGGCCACGAGAAAATAGCAGCAAAAGAGGGAGGCCTGTCGCCCAGAACCCGAGACCTGGCTGTAGGCCCAGCTGTGGGCTCAGCAGCCACGGAGCATTAAGGACAAGTTTCACCACTGGGAAGCCCCCGGAAAGTCTGGAGCTACTGGGATGAGCCGAGCCACAGGTGTGATGGCTTTGCCCATTTGTGGAGCCGAATCCATCCCAGTTCTGGACTTTGCCTGTTGGCAGGTACAGCCCCAGTCTGCTCTGCAACCACCTTTTGGCTGGGCCAGGACATGCACACTATGGCGGCGGGGGGGGGGGGGTTCCCAGCAATGTGGTACTCGGAGCTGGCACTCCTACAGGGGGAATAAAGAACCTGGGTCCCAGTGAGGCTAAGTAACTGCACGAGGGACATGCAGCTTAGGCATGAGCATTGCTCTGGTCAGGTCCAAAAGCTGTGCCACCCCACCACTCACAGCAGCCATGGGAGGCTTTAGATGTGGCTGTGGTGATGTGGCTGTGGCCCAGGAGCCTGGCTTGTTCCCAGCCACTGCTCAGGTTGCTATCTAACCCCTTCCCGATCCCCAGGCCACTGTATAGCCCTCCTCTCCTCCCAATTAGACCCATCAGAGGAGTAGTGGTTTAAGTGCTCTCTCTCTCTCTTTCTTGCTTGCTCTCTCTCTTTCTGTCTCTGTCTCTCTTTCTCTCTGTTGTGTAGACTACAGCACATAGGGCATCATTCCTCAGGATCTATCTACCTTATGCTTTGAACCTGCCTCTCACTAGCCTGGAACTTGCTGAGTAGGCGAACCCCCAGAATCCACCTGTTTCCCACCTCCCCAGTGGTCAGATGATACATGAGCACCACTATGCCTGACTTTTTTAAAAAAACATGGGTTTAGGGATCAAACTCATGTCTTTGTGTTACCAACTGAGCCATCTCCCCAACAGGGTCACTTCCACAGATGTCCCTCAGGTGGGCTAGAAGCACCCAGATGACAGTAGTAAGGAGCATCCTACCGGGGTGTGGTGCACAGTCAGGCGGTACCCTGGTGCTGGAGAACCGACTTCCTGCAGGCCTGCTGGGCTTGCATCCTCATCACTCTCACCCAGCTCATCTCAGGCCCTATTGTGGGTCTCCTCACCAGCCTGGGCTCCATTGAGAGGAGCTTTTCCAAAGTGATGTCTGTTCAGTCCTGGCATCTGCTCAGTGCCTGCTGTCCTGGCCCAGAGTCCCCTTGTCTCTTGCCTTCCCTCTCCAGCCAACCTTGACATTGCAGCCCACAGCATTAAGGCCCTCCCGGGATTGGACATCTGCATAAAGCCCATCCACAGCACAGCACTTCCAGCCCATCTCCAGCCTCCTTCTCTACAAGACTCCAGGAAGGTAGGGGCCTAGCCCCCAGGTCACAGTCTAGGAGTGTAAAACAGGAATCCACAAGCCAAGCTCTACACTCAGATCTCCCTGAGTTGTGGGTTTCCCTGAGTTTCAGGCTTCCAGGGCAGCCCCCCCACCCAGGGAGACTAGGCAGGGGACCCAATGCCTAGGGGAACAAAGAGCTTTAGAAGGAGAAATGGCACTCCCCTGTGCTTCAGCCTCCGAGGGGAGGGCGAGGAACTGGCAGGCTCTGAGGCGCCAGCCTGGATGAATCCCCCCTGGATTCCGAGACTATGGGGAAAGCACAGTAAGGGCAGGATGGGCTGGGCAGGAAGCCCCCTGCCCAGTCCTCTACATCTTCACAAGGGACCCAGCACTCTGGGCTCCAGGTTGCCCTTGTGCAGTGCCACCAAGCACCCACAGGAAGCAGAAGCACCCTTGTTTCTGCAGCTGAGGGCTCCAAGTGATCTGCCCAAGACCCAGGCCTTGAAGTCATCTTCCCACCACCTAGATCACTATTGTGAAGGCACAGCAGGAACAGTGTCAGGGCAGGAGCCGAGGGGACAGTCTGGGCCACCTGCCACTCTGCCGAACCCCCCCAACCCCTCGCCCTGGGAGTTTAGAGTCCAACGTAATTGACTGAGAAGCAATAACTCTCCCTTCTAGAGCACTCATTACTCTCTGGATCCGCTGCTCTGCTTCAGGCCAGCCCACGTGGGAAGGCTGGAGGCCACACTGCAGGCTCGGGTCCCAGGCAGAACAGCCTCACCCAGAACCAGGCAAGGCTCAGACACTTAGATCCAGCCATAATGTGCAAAACTGGGGTGACCACCTAGGTGGAGGGTGGAGCTGGCAGGAACGGATGTGGGTTAGCAGGGGCATCTCAAAGCTTGTTCCACTCTCTCAAAACCAGAGTAAGAAAAGGGCTGAGGTTCCTCCCAGCCGAGGTCACTCCACCTGGCTCTTAGACTCACATAATTGTAAGAGACCCCAGAGGGTGTAAGACAAGGAGCTCTGGCCCTGACAGGAAACTGAGGTCCATCTAGAAAGGGTCAGTGACTGGTCCAAGGTCACTCAGGAAGGTAGACAGAGCTGGGCAAAGTCTTGAGTCCCCTGTCTGTGCCCACCTTCTCCCTGAGTTCCTTGGCCATGCTGGCTGGCTGAACTGGCACAGCAGGGGCCTGGGGCTCTGGAAATGGTGAAGGAGTCACAGCACTTTCTGGGCCCCTATACCCCATGATGTTGGCCTTCCCCAGACAGTCACTGATGTTCCCCAGCTCCCCACTCTAACCCCCAGATATTCTAGGCACCCAGTTTGGGGGCCTGTGGCTCCTCCACAGACTCTAGACCCTTCAGGAAGCACCTCCTGGCTTTACAACTGGATCCACACTAACCAGCGAGCCCCACAGGAAGTCGGGAAATGGGGAACCAAGACCTCAGCATGACTTCTGTATCTCCCTCTGCTATAGCTTGAGCCAAGTGTACCACACAGGACCACCCAAGGGAGGCAGGGAGGGAGCCCAGGAGGGAGGGAGCCCCTGGCCTCAGGGGTGGGAGGGACTTCTCACGGGTACATAAAGTTGTGTGCATTTAGCAAGCCTGCAGCACATGTGCAAGCCCAGAGAGCACCAGCTAGCCTCCCACCGCCAGGAGGTGTCAGGTCAGGAAAGCCTGGACACGGGCATGTCAAGTCTATCTCAAGAGAGGGAAGGTGGGAAGATGGGCCTGAATCTTAGGGACCTGGACATTCTCCTTGTCCTTGGAAGTCCACCAGGAGCTTGGCGGGCTTGAGGAGAGGGGCCTGCAGGAGTCGAGAACACTGCAGCTGCCTTGCAACTCTCCTCAACTCTAGCTTCCCAAGAAGGGACAAAGGAACATGCTGGGGCCCGGAGAAAGATCCAGGACCTTGACCCTTGAGTTTCTTGCCCCATAGTCACACGAGCAGAGTCATGTGAGCCCACCTGACTCTGACCTGGGGAATACAAGACACTGGGCAGGGTGAGACGGGGGAGCCCCAAGACTGGATGTGAACTCGCTCTTTGGCGTTCTGATGCTTGGCTGGAAAAGCACATCGCCAGCTCATCCCCCCACCGTCTTCACTGTTTAAAACGAGATTTAACGCAAGTTGGGCAAGAGGCTCTACCATGCTCACCATGACCTTGGGCAAGAGGCCAAACTTCCGAAAGCCTCACTTTCCTCATCTGTCCAATGGGGCCTCTGACCCCTTCACATGGGGGTTGGGCAGACTGGATTCTGTGTAGCCCAGGTCAAGCAGGCAGCACTGAGCTGGAGGAAGAAAGTCTCACCACATGAAATTTCTCAGCAGCAGGCAGTAAGAGATGGACGCAGCCAGGCTTCCAGTCTCTTTGGGCAAACTTTCCCTCCCCAAACCTCTGCCCCCAAGGCAGGCCATCTTTGGAGGGAAACGGAGCCTCTTTCCTGCAGTGGGTCAATGGGTGCCCCTGCCTCTCCGTTAGGACCCCACTGCCCCATCATCCCAGGGCATTTGGACGGTGGGTCGCGATGGGATGGATGACGCTGTACAGGCACCTGTGTAGGGCACAGGACCAAGATGCAAGGTGGCCGGGGGCAGGCTGCGGTGGGTAGACGCCAGACGAGGCGGGCGCAGAGCCGAGGTTTCCCAGCCTGCGTCGCCGGCTCCCACACAGTGACCCGCGCTCGCCCGCTCGGCCCTTACCTTGAACCATGGGAACCACGCTGCCTCGGCCGGCGGAGGACTTGTGCGCACGTGACGGGGCGGGCGTCCCTCCGTCCCGGGCACTGCTGGAAGCGGCTGCTGCAGCCCAGGCCACGGCCCGTGGAGCCTGCAGGGACCAGGCTGGAGAAGCGAGGGCGGAGAGACCCCGGGAGGCGAATGCGTGGCCAGGCGCGAGCCCCTGTCAGCTGCGCGCTGCAGCCGCGGCCCCGGACCCCCGGCTGCCTCCCGGCGAGCGGCACGCGCGGCTCCTGCCCAGTCCCGGGCGCGGGGCGCGCGCTGGCACGGAGGGCGCGCACGAGCCGGCTGGGGAGCGCGCGCCGCGGCCCCGCGCGCCGTCGGCGGGGGCTGCGGGGAGCAGCCGGGGAGCTGTCCCCGGTGCTGACGGCTCAGCCGTGGTCGCGGGGCTGCGCACCTAGCCGCAGAGACTGGGGGGGCCAGCGCCCTGGCGCGCGCCCTGAGGGGCGCTTCCTGATCTCCGCCCGCCCGTGTCTGTCTCCCCGGTGTTTGCTCTCCACGGCGATGGGGATGGCCTGCCTGTGGACAATGCAACCTTGGAGCAGGCTCCTAACCCTCTTGGTCTGGGGTGACTGACAGCAGGGCCTTTAAGGGTGCTCTGAGAATGAAAGACCACCGAGGCAGGCACACCTTAAGTTTTTAATAAATGCTCTCCCGCGCTCTTGTTTACATTCTCTGTGCTAGCCTCGTGGAGCACTGGAGGGCAGTGTGGACTGTGCACTGGGCCAGCTGGCGTTTGGGGCCTGCGGCTGTCCAAGGTTTCCAGCCATTGAAGAAGGAAGTAAATCTCTCCTACTGGGCCCCCAAATACGACACTAGGCCAGTGCTGGAAGTTAAAGCAAGGTAGATCTGGGCCGGATACGAGGAAGAACTTTCTGGCTTTTCCATTTGAGAAGTGTGTCCCCCAAGGCAGGACCCATCCCTGAAGATTCCCAGTAGGGGGCTGTGGCTTCAGATCACAAGCCCAGGGAAGTCTGGGATGAGGAAGATCTTTGAGTCAGAAGGTACGGCACTCTGAGAAACACGCCTGGCTCATTGGGAGAGCCCCATAGATGTTTGCTTGTGTTGAGATTGACCTGACGCTCCACGTCATAAGAAGCTTTGTCCTGGTGGAGGAACCAATGACTCTGGCCCATCCTCAGGGCAGATGGGGCTCAGTGGGCTGGAACCCTTTCTCTGTTGCACACTGGCTGGGTCAAGTGAGTGAGTGCTTCAGACAGACGCTCCACGTGTCCCACTTGCCAACTCCCCTGCCGGGTCCTTCCCAAGGGTCTGCACAGAGCTCCCCAGAGCTTCTCAGGTCTTTGGCTCTGGAGAGTGTCCTTATAACAAACTGGGAACATCCTTCACTCCACTTAACTAACCAGAAGAGCTGGTCCCTGCTGCCATATCTCTGCCCCTTGCAAGCTTGATAAGTGATCGTCACCTGCCTTGTTTCCCCCTGGACTGCTGGCTGTGTTTGATTCATTAATTAACTACACTCATAGCCCGCCTGCACCAGGCACTTATCTCACGGTACACATCACTCATTAAGTGCTCAATGCATTGTGGACGCAAGGCCAAACACTTGCACACGTTGCCTCATTTAGCCCACTCAGCGATGGCCAAGAAGATCCCCACTGTTCCTCCGCTTTGCAGGTGAGAATGAATGGGGTCCTTGGCAGCAGACCGGAGCTAGGTGCGCTGACTCCTCCGTCTGTCTGCAGATTTCCCCACACTTGCCACCCCAACACCCTGAGAGACAGGACGATGGACTCTGGTAGCTATGGTGCTATGTAAGGGGACAGCAGAGCACTGGAAAGCTCCAGGAGGAAAATGCAAGCCAGTCAGCCAGTCAGCACCAGGGAGTCGGCCCAGGAATCCTTTAAATGACCATGTTCATAGTCTCAATCATGACAAGGGCTTTTGGCGGCTGTCTCAGATCCTTAGATCCTGGCAAATGTGTGCCAAGTGCTTCACAGCAGAGTCACCGCCAAACCCTGCCTTTGCCCACCAGCTCCCACATCCTTCCCATGTCTACTTTCATCCTTGGGCACAGTGGTCTGAGCAGCTAAGTACGGAGAAGGTGGCTCAGCCTCTGACTCTGGGCTCTTGGTGCTGATTTCTTGGTGGTTGGTTCTTCTCTGCTGAGCAGAGAGGTGTGGCCCTGGTATTCGTGATGATGGGAACTTAGTTAAATGGAGCCCGTTTTATTTAAACCATGGCTGGCTTCAATGACCCACAGCAGTCACAGCAGATGTCTTCTTGTGTGTGTGTGCGTGTGTGCGCACATGTGTACAGGTGTGCTCACCTGTGCACGTGCATGTGGATGTCAACATTAGTGTCTTCCTCTATCACCCTCCACCTTATATTTTTAAGTATTTATTTTTATTATTTTAAAATTAAGAGTGTATATGTGTGTTTGTGTGTGTGTGTGTGTGTGTGTGTGTGTGTGTGTGTGTGTGTATGTGCCCTCAGAGGCTAGAGCTGTCACATGCCCCTGGAGTTGGAGTTACAGGTGGTTGTGAGCTGCCTGATGTCTGAGCTTCGGTCCTCTGCAAGAGCAGTACACGCTCTTAACCTCTGAGTCATTTCTCGAACCCCTGTCCACCTAAGTTTTTAAGACAGGGTCTCTCACTGGACCCAGAATTCACTTTTTTGGCTAGACTGGCTGACCAGTAACTACACAGGATCCTCCCGTCTCTGCTTATCCCCAAAGCCTGGGTTCCAGACACATGCTGCCACACCTGGCTTTTATGTGTGTGCTGGGAATCCAAACTCAGATCCTTATGCTTGCACGGTGCTTTTTTTTTTTTTTTTAATGAGACAGGGTCTCCCTGTAGTCCTAACTGGTCTAGAACTGGCTATGTCCCAGGCTGGTCTTGGTCTCACAGAGATCTGCTTGCCTCTGCCTCTGTCTCCTGCATGCTGGGATTAAAGACATGTGCCACCATACCCCGCCTTTGCATGCCAAGTGCTTTTATCCACTGAGCTACTTGTCCAGCCTAGATGCCTTCTCTACCATCACTCAACAATGGTAACATACAAGTGAAGTGAGTTAAACAGAGCCACACAGACAGCAAGGAAATACACATGGCAGGTTATTTTGGATGCTGCTGCTGGTGGTCGACACCCAGCTTGCTCTTTGTGTACAAAAGCATTCCCGGATTTTAAACAAAAATTCATTTCCAAAAATAGAAACAGGAGGGTTAAGGAGAAGCTTCTGACCTGGCTTCATAGAGACCATGCACCATCAGGTTTCCTGAACTAGCAAGTCTTCTGGTATGGAAAGGGAGTCTGGCCCTACGTAGCTCCTCCAGGCTGGCCAGCAGCTCCGGGGGTGGGGATAGGACCACCCCAGCCCTTCCACCAAAGTATGCTTTCCAGTTGCTTTCCAGCCAACAGTAGTGACTCTATCCCATCACCAGCATTTTTCACGACACACAGCTTAGTGGATGTAACTCAGGGTCACCTGATAATGGAGTTTGTTGAAAAATCTCCAACACACAATGATGTGTGTGGCAGTTTATAAGGATTGCTTTCTATCCTGGACAAATGGGTCTTTTGCAAGATCAGCTTGATGCTATAAAGATGAGACCTTTGGGTGTGCCTTAGGTGAGGGTGGCTTTGGGGTTGAAGTTTGATGATCTGAGTGGAGGCAGAAGCTTCAAGCATTCTTTCCCCAGGGCTCTCAATCACCATAAATAATGCCCTCACTCTCCCAGCATCCCAATGGCAAACCAAGGATTACACCGCAGTTCACCCTGGGGAACCAGAGAGTTTATTGGGCTTCCTTATAGAGCTTAGATGAGAGATCACTTACAAGAGTGTGCGTGCTCCACTAAAAGGCTGCGATGGAAAGTCCTCACTCAGCATGGATGACGGCTTCTCCACAGGTGCAGAGGCAGAATCCCCTCTTAGTCTTCCCAAGATTATATACTCTAGCCTCTCCACATGCAACTAGGGCAGAACTGCACACAGTGGGTTGGGAGGAGTGGCTGGCTATTCAGATGAGCGTCCCTTGACCCTCCAGTCCCTCCTTCTGTGAAGGTCCATAGTCAACAAGCCCAGTTGTGATGATCTTTAGCAAGCAAGCATAACTGACTAAAGATGGCAGCTGTTTGGCTCAGAGAATAGTCCCGCATAGCAGAGCTTATAGATAAGGTTAACTGAGATTGGGAAACCCACCCTAGGTGTGGGTGGCACCGTCCCATGGGCTGGGGTCCTGGACTGAATAGAAAGCAGAAAGCCAGCCAAACACTTGTGCTCATCCCTCTCCGCTTCCTGAGTGTGGATGCCATGTGGTCGGCTGCCTCACTCCTGCTGTGCTTCCCCTGCCATCATGGGCTGCATCCTCAAACCGTGAGCCCAGATCAACCCTTCCCTCCTTAGTTGCTTTTGCCAGGCATCTTGTCACAGCAATGAGAAAAGTAATCAATGTAATCACCTGCACCTCGTGTGACAGGCACTGGGTCGTGGGGAGCAAAGGGCAGGCACCCAGCTGCTGCTTGTGACTAGAGTGCTGTTCTACAGAGCAGGAGCAAAGTGCTCTTCAAGGAAGGAGCCCCCACCAGGATCTGGAGAATACAGCCAGGAGCCTTTCCAAGTCTGTTTCAGGGAACCCACGGGAGGCGAGCATGAAGCCCTGGACATCGAAGGAGAGGCTAGATGACACCTTTTCTGTCCTGGAAACCTGGGAAATTTTGGAAGGGTGGTGCCAGCCGGTTGGCAGGTACAGCAGTCTCTATTTTGGCTGCCTGGAGACTTCAGAGCCCTGATAGGGGTCCTGGCTTGTGTTTTCTAGCTCTTTGTTACCCACTCTGGTACTGGCAATGGGCCAGATAGTGAAGTGGTTGTTTCCCTTGCTCGTTCTACTGGAAATCACTCGCTCCAGGTGTTCCTCCATCCATCACTGTCTTGCTCTTTTAAGCTGGTCATGAGGGCCTTGGAAGCTGATTGACAGGGCTGGGTGGCAGAACCACACATGCACTCAACTCCTAATGAACCGTTCAGGTCAAATCCATTCAGAGGAATAAATTAAAAATACACAAAGAGTTGGACGATATCAAGCAACTGGGATTATTGGGAGGCAGAGTCACCTTCACCTCCCAGATCGAGGGCTGTTAGGCTAGGCAGCTTTTAGCATAGCATGGCGAGAGAAAGCGAGAGCTAGAGAGAAAGAGAGGCAAGAGAATGAGGAGGGTGGGGTG